TGTACTAAAATGACACGGTGTTGTGCTTATAAATGTAGTAAAGGTGCGCTATCTAGGACCTGCGTATTCAACAGGGAGCGGTGACGTCACCGAATCGGTCGACGGAATTTTAAACGTGTGTTACGAGCGATCTACTGAACCTTTGAATGTAAAATTTTATATTCACAGACTGAACGTAGAAAGCCCGGGTTTTTGTTCTACTTGTTTTTGTCGGGATAACTATTTATTGTTTTTTTCTTGTAAATTTAAATTTTTTACTTCACGGGGCCTGGATCAGGATCACTATACAAAAAAATTTCGTGTACAACACATTTTGAAAGTGTCTTTTTTTTCATGAATTTGCTTGATTAACTCGGGCTTCGTCTTCATTAATAAAACTGATTCATGGAAAAAAAATCACTTTCAAAACTAGTGCAAACAACTATTGCGTTAAAAAAATGTCACGTTACGTTACTTTTTAGCGCATTTTTTAAGACTTAAAAAAATGTGCTATTGTTTGCGTTTTGTCCGTCCGCCCGTCCGTCACGACCCACTTCTACCGTTTTGAACTACTTCTAGGGGAATGGTCCTAGAGTCCTGGAATTTTTCCCAGTAGGTAGCCTAAGGCACGAATAAAGGAACGAACCGGTTTCTACCAACTACTGCCCTTCTTTCTGTCCTCTTATCAAAGCACGGGGTGGAGGGGGTGGTGGTGTGGTGGAACTAGTTTTATCCTTCATGGTATACTCTAATGAAAGGGCTCAACGAAAGGAATTAATTTCTACCAACCATAGCCCTCCTCCTCGACCTCTAATCGTGATCGGATATATTCCCTTATACCTCAAGAACGGATTGTCGGAAGAGGATACTGTCATCTCCTAGAGCCAGTAAAAACTATTACCTGGCGTATAATGTGCAATATTTTATTTGTTACTCATTTGTAAACAGTAGTAAAAGTAAATAATTAGTTCTTAAATTGATCTCGAAGAAATGTCTAAAATATCATGTTATCCATGTAACAGAAACTTCGCATTAATTCTGGCCAATGAAATTGCTAGATTACTAACTTGTAAAATTTTTACAGGTCAGCTGTCAGTTTTACAAGTCAGTAGCGTGAACCGCTACGGCACTTTTTTTCACGCTATCTACTAGTGGACGAAACAAGCGCATCCTTTATGAACGCAAATTGATGAAAAATGTACTTTATTTTACAAACGTAAAAAAAAACTATTTCGCGCACTGACAAAGTTGTGCCTATATAACACTATTTTGCTGATATTTGGCTCGGCTTTACCTCGTCAAAATGCCTTCAATCTCAATTGATGAATTGAAATTGAACTTCGGGCTCTTGTTGAAACTTGAAACTTTGACATATGCCTGGCGTCGCCGCCTCTCCCAGGATTTAGTCAACTGTCGTGAGGATGCGTCCCTGGTAGACACTATCAGGGACGTTTCTCCACTACTTTGTTGCCATCGCGCTGGGCCGCGACATATGCCAAACAATGTGGTGGATTTTGTGGATTGGGGGGGTTGTGGGGGGCGGCTAACTGGGTGTTATCCGACCCGAACGGGTACGGCCACAGCTTCGCCACTGGTATTCTGCCTTAGAGGGAACTCTGCTTTCTAGTGACAGCTTCTTCTCCAGGCGTTCATTGGCTTCCGATGTTCTTATCCTTTGGTCTCGTTCCCTTCCCTGTTTTCCCTCGTGGCTCTTTTTATTGTTGTCCTCTCCCCGCATTACTTTCTGTCCCCTTTTCCTCCTCCCCTCGGCTACTTGTCCTTGTGGCTGATTCTTCCTCCACCTCTAGCATTCTTCTGCTTTCTTTCTTCCTTTGATGTTTGTCTCTGCTATTCTCTTCCCATCTTCCCATGGTAATCCCCGAGACCTCTACCGTTTGGTTTATGGTGGTGTTCCATGTTTGGCAGGGTCGGCCTACCTTCCATTCCGAGGCACATAGAATCTTGGCAGCCCGAATGATATGGTCTTTGTTCCTCCTGTTGGTATGTCCCCAGTATCTCATCTGCCTCATCTTCAGTCTCCTAGCAAACGTCTTTTCCTCTAATAGTTCTCTTCTCTGCTTTCTTGTGAGGTTGCTGTTTTCTTCAGTATCCTGAGTGCCTTCCACTCTGTCCTCCTCAATGTTCGTCTGTTGCTCTTTGTTGGCGCTGAAGTGTTAATTCCGTATAAGATTGTCGGTGCTACGATCGTGTTGTAAATCATCATTTCAAGCTGTCCGGTATTTTATATATAAATAGCTATTATTCATCGTTTGTGCTTTAATTATTTGCAAATTTGTTGACTTCCATTAATGGAGGCTGAAGGAGGCCGGAAGTTGGTCCCTCCAAATTACAAATTTATTCGTGGCCCTGTGCGGAATCAAGCTGGAAACACACGATCGAACATCGCGACAAACATGTAGGTACGCGCGTACATGTTTGTCGTGATGTTCGATCGTGTGTTCCCTCCTTTGATTCAAAATACAATAAAGATTTTTGTATCTTAGCAGCGAGCTTTATATGAATAAGAATCGAGAGATGCTTTGTGATGCCATACGATTCCCATTCGGCCAATACAGACTTTCGAGAGCCGTCATAAAAACTATGAAACCCGTTTTGAATTTTACCAAATCAATGTATGGTTATGGCTCATGCATGGCCTAATAAGAGGATATTAGGCCACGCGCTCATGAACATCATACGATTAACTCGTTTTGCAATGTTACGTAGATCCAAAGTCGATATGACGTCGAAGTATGCTTTGTAGATCGATACTCGCCAGCCGGAATGCGCGTTGGTTTCGCTAAAAACTGAAAGTTTGCACATGCCGTCACTAGGTAATTAGTAACACCATTGTATAATACAATGGTAACACTTAAAATTAAAAAAAATATTTCATTTGACAATGTACGTTTCCGATTCAGTTTTTTGTCTTATTTTATAATTAACTTAAACGTTTATTGTTTAAATTAAGAATGCGGTGACCATTCCCAGGAGTTAACCGTTACCCCACAATCAAACATACATGCATACAATCATTGTTAATTCAAAGGGTGCTGAGAGGCTCCTCTAACGTGATGCGTTTTATTAAACGTTACTAATGAGGAAGTTAAGAATTAGTCAACTCGCCTGTTTGTTTTTATAAATTATTCTGTTGTTATTACTGCAAGTGGTGCACGGGTTAACTAAAGCGTTTCTAATGGATGGTTTTTGCTTTGATTTTTTCATATGTATTCAAAATTAGATCGTTTTAATCGAACTTACATGTAAAATGTGCAAACCGCGGAAGATTGTTGGGGTAGATATGAAATCGGTGTTTTACAATAATACTCGTATTTCACCATCCGCTTCCGTTGGTCATCAATTCGCATAACAATATACGAGTAGGTTAACAGCTTTTCATTAAGTAAAAGAGAAACGCTAATAAATCTACATATAGCCAGCCTATTGTTTGCGGGTATTTCCCCATGATTATAATGATAGGTGTTCTTGTAACGTACATGCTACATGCACTTTTGGAACAACAACAACGTAGGTATATTGTAGCGTTCATAAGTAAGTAGTAGAAGCCTGATTTTTTGGTTAAACAAAATTTCATACGTATAGCCTTGTACACACTTTAAAGCAGGGAATTGATAATTCTAGAGAGGTGCCAATTCTATTAATAAATCTTTGTCAAATAGCATAATAACCAAAGGTAAGTAACTTTGATTGCTATGTATATAGCGTGAATAACCACAATTCAAAAAGGAAGCGTGATGCTTTGAACAATACAGTCCTAGCCAGTTTTTTTTAAATAATACACTGTGTAACATTTTTTCCAAATAAGTATGTCAAGCGTTCAGAACATTTACATAGAAGGTGGGAATAAACCTAGGTTTTTGAATACGCGTTTTTCGGATTTGTCACTTTTTTCCAAGTTTCTATCCTCTACACAGCGATGCGAAAAAATTTGATCGTAATGAAATGTAGTACCTATCTATCTGCATTCTGCTGATCTTTGAACATGAATTTTAATAATAATAATATTTTTCAATAATAATAATAATATTTATTTATCCTGTTTCAACATAGAGATGTATAGGACAAAGTCAAACATCCAATGAAACAATGAAACAAACACAGAAATACAATTAACGGTCTGCTACGTACCGAGATGCACCAGGATCATTTAAGGGTTCTTCAACGTTATAGAACATCTTGTCTAAAAGGAAACTAACTTATAGATTACGTTTGAACGTATGGAAGTTGTTGGTCGTTTTAATGGTAATTGGCAGGCTATTGAAAATTTTAGCTCCTGTAATATAGGGACTGGACTGATTGACATTAGTTCTTCCTCGTGGCACTCTGAGGTCATTAGTATTTCTTGTGTGGTATTTGTGTATGTCATAATTATGTAGAAGTTGATGTTTATTTTTAAATATAATTTTACACACTTCCAGGATATACAGGGTGATTCCTATAGTACCTGCCACCGTTTGGGAGCGTGTAGGTGGTGCGTAGGGGAGTATTTTGATATAGGACACTTGGGGTCGGAAATGTAAAATAAGGGTGCCAGAGCCAAATTTACCTTCTGGAATTTCGCGCCTGTAGGTAGGCAACCCAACCGGCCGGCGGTGCACACGGAGCGATCTCAGGCAGCGATGTGTGGCTGACACTTGATCAGAATTTTGTTTAAACCCACGAAATCCCGTCTGCAACGACGCGTATCAAGTGAATAAACACTATGGCAATAGTATAATAATAATAATAGTTGGCTAGATGTAGGAAGTGCATTGAGAACAACGGTGGCCACGTTGAACACTTGTAAACGTTATTGCTTTTGACTGTCGTTTTCCCTCCTTCCCTCCCATGTCGCTTCCTCGCGCTAACTCGCTCTGCATCGCTCTGCGCGAAACGTCGGTCGGTTGGGTTGCCTACATACAGGCGTGAAATTCCAGAAGATAAATTTGGTTCTGGCGCCCTTATTTTAGATTTCTGACCCCAAGTGTCCTATATCAAAATACTCCCCTAGGCACCCCCTATACGCTCCCAAACGGTGGCAGGTACTATAGGAATCACCCTGTATAGGTAGGGTAGTGGGAGTATGCGGAGCTTGGTAAAGATCGGTCTGCAGGGTTGTGTATATAGTTTGCACCACATATGCATCTAACGATTCTCTTCTGTGTGACAAAAACTTGATTGAAGGTGGATGACCGACCCCAGAGGCACAAACCATACCTGAGCCGCAATTCAATGCAGTCAAAGTAGAACATCCGAAGCTGTTTCACATCTAGATAGTACCTAAGGTAGCGTACTCGATAACATTCAGTATTTAATTGTTTTATTTGTTACTCAGTTGTAAACGTTAGATTAACAAGACAAAACGCAAACGGGTAAACGTCATGTTTAAACGCTACTGACTTGTAAAACTGACAGCAGACGTGTAAAAATTTTACAAGTTAGTAATCTAGTAATTTCATTGGCCAGAATTAATGCGAAGTCTCTGTTACATGGATAATATGATATTTTAGACATTTCTTCAAGATTAATTTAAGAACTAATATTATTTACGTTTACTATTGTTTACAAATGAGTAACAAATAAAATATTGTACATTATACGCCAGGTAATAGTTTTTACTGGCTCTAGGAGATGACAAGCTCGCCTAAGGGCTCGCTAGTCAACTTCTCCTATCGCCAGTAAAAACTCACTTACCTGACTAATAATGTAAAATACTATAATTAAGTTTTCGTTATGGGATATCCTGCTTAGAGTATCATCGAGTACGACGCCCAGAAACTTTACTGTAGTTGGTTTTTCTAAATTAGCATCATTAACAGAAATATTAATGTCAAGAGTATTAGTATTTTGATAATTGTGAAATTGTAAAAATTTCGTTTTGCTATGATTTAAGAATAATAGATTATTCTCAAACCATCTAGATAAATTTTCAAATTGTTAATATACTTACATGTTGCCCGTAATTCATTTTCATCCGGGTGTGAAACAACCACGGCCGTGTCGTCCGCATATAGTGAAAGAGTTGCATCAACCGAGATGCAGCTCAGAACATCGTTTGTAAATAGTGTAAAGAGGATCGGTGCTAAAATGCTCTCTTCGGGTGTACCCACGTTTAGCTTTATGGTGTCTGAATTAACGTTAGTGGTGTATCCCTTATTACTATGTCGCAATGAGACATACTGCGTTCGATTTTTAAGAAACTTTTCTAGCCAATTCAGGGCAGTGCCTCTGACGCCGTAGCAAGACAATTCCTGTAACAGTAGATTATGGTTGACACAGTCAAATGCTTTAGTGATATCGCAGTATATCCCAATAGGCAGTTCTTTTTTCCCTATCGACTGAAGCACTGTATCGTAGAAGAAAAGAATTGCATCAGTTGTGGATTTATTAGGTCTAAAGCCAAACTGGTTAGGTATTAATATTCTACATTTTACAATAAATCTTTCTAGTCTATCCAAAAGCCATACTCAAAAATTTTTGAGAAGACGGATGTTATAGAGATAGGTCTAAAATTGTTTGGAGTGTATTTATTCCCCTTTTTGTGAACTGGGATAATTTTTGCCAGTTTAAGGGCTTCTGGAAAAGTGCCAGTTAAAAAGGATAAATTAATTAAATATGTTAAGGGCCTCACAATTACGTGAGAGATTATACGAACCAAAAAACAAGGAAAGTCGTCAGGTCCTGCCGATCTTTTGCTTTTTATTTTGTTATGAATATCTCCGAAACGAATCAATAGAATTTAAAAAGCAAAGCAGATTAGTAATCACGATTAAATTGGCTTTCAAATAATGTGCCATTTGCCATAGGATTCCATTTAAAATTTTAGGGGTTAAGCTCCCTACGTAGAGGGGTGAAGACTTGGGTTCGTGATTTGTATTCCAAAAGTTGTCCCCCTCGAATACAAAATTGACGTGTTCGAGGATTTTGCGAAATTTCTAAATTTAATACCCTAAAAGCCCTCTGTATACTTCTCGTTGAGCCACTCTGTATAATTTTCTTTCCACTAATAGGAATAATAACAAAAAAAACGTATAAAAGGAGTAAAATCGAGAGTAAAATACATGCTCCTGGTAAAGTAAACAAAATACACAAGGATGGGAAAGTATGCAGATTTAATATAATCATTGATTACAAATCTAAATATACATCGATGTGTTCCAGTAGTATAATTAAGGCCAGTTTACTATAGCCACTACAACTTGACAACTCCCATTAAATTCACTGTTGTGATGTTTTGATTAAGGGCGCGCTATCAGTATTGTGTGTTGCCTATCTCACAATAGCTTTCTTATGGGAAACATGCCTAACGGAATTCATACCGTTTTTAAAAAATATACATTTTTTTTCGGAAATGTTTGTTATTTCTTGTTCTTAAATGTATGTAAATTATGAGTGAACGGTTTATATTGCATTAAAACTCATAGCTCATTCTCTGAAAGTGTATAAAGTAGACGTTCGATTACAATGGCAACCTTTTGTGTATAATTCAAAGGTCAAAGAAGTTTTTGAAATATAAATTGTTTCTCCAGATTCTTGAACATATAAGGAATAAAACGTGATGTAAAAATGGATAATATGTGGTTTCTAAAGCACAAACGGTATGAACTCCGTACACTTGAAAATAACTCGTAAAACAATTATAGAAAAGAAATCTGTGCTCAGTGTAGTTCAACGTGTATCCACTAAGATGGCTACGGTATACTATTCTTACAAAGCGGGAAATTTAAAATGGAGCACTTTTTGGAATGTATTAATGTATCTATTTTTTAGCAGTATAACTTATTCCTTTATTGGCTTTGTTGGTCATTAATGCAGATAAAATGTATCCAGCAAAAAACCGTACCATAAGTAGGAATTACACTGGTTAACGTACGTTACCTACATTCAAAATTTGGGTTAGGAAACTGGCAAAAGAAGTATTTATAAACGTTGAGTTTAGGATCATGGGATTTTTCACTCTACGTTATAATTAATATAAAAATTGCAGAACTTGCAACAAAAAGAGGTTATGTTGGATTGTGTTTTTGAATTGATAATACACAGTGTTAATACTGCTGCTTACGTTTACCAGATGAAGCGCTTCATGAGCGCTACTTAAGGGCAAGAATACTCTAATCAAAATTTCTCGCCCAAGTTGCTATCTAATAGCACTGTCGACATGTACGGTGGTATTTACACCTCGGCAGTGCTATCGGACAACTCTGCAAGAAATCAGTAACTGGAGATTATATATTTATTCGATAATAAATGTACACATCACTTACAACTAAATTTAAGCACTATTAATAATAACGAAACCCCACCGATTGGATGTCATCTCGGTTCCCATAATTTGAATGAACTACATACTATCGGCATTGAATAATTCAATGCTATCGGTATTATATCAAAATATGATTTCACACCCAAACAACTAACATTCAATTATGAGTCAGTATTGCTGACTTGCAAATCTGGTTTTCCTAAAAATATTGCGTGGATTGTCCTTTGTGATCATAAAGGCTGAGTATTTCTTATGGCCGATTCACATTATTATCGGTCAGGTTACGGTCAGAACATGAACAGAACAGAAATACACGTTACAATAATTGACCGCACCGTGTTCTGACCATGATGTGACCGATGGCCTTATATAAACGCACTGCAATGACATCGTTCGGTAAAATGATAATCGGAAAAAAAGGTACTCCGTGTCGGAAGTCAATCTTCGGAAATGTGTACAGTCGAAGGATAGCCTAAAACAATCCATTAATAGAACTATATTAAAATAAAGATCCTCAACTTTACTTACCTAGGTAGGTACTGTTTTTTTTTGTTATTTTGCAGTTAATAGAAAATCAGGTAAACATAATCCATAACATAACCCAACTTTGAATGGCATTTCAGGAATTACAAGTACGCACTGTTATTGGGATTCAAATGAATTACTGAACAAAACCGCATATTATGGTAAATAAGTATTTTTAGGTAGAATTTATTTCGCAAGATCACTAAATTCCCTTTTTAGAGTTACGGAACGATATTTACAGTTACAGGTGGTAACCAAAGATAAGCAAAATACTATTTTTAATTTTATCTCAAGCAAAGACGAATGTAAGCGAGTGTTAGCGACCTAACGAAGTACAAATAGGGATCGCGGATTCGGGATGGCAGCACAAAGCAACGAATATTTCAAAAATACTTCTTAGTTCACTTTTCTTACACCATGGCGTGCAAACGCACCCTTAAGTAACAAATGAGTTTCTCAAACTCGCAAATAATTTATTGATAAAACTATAAACAAAAAAATAGTGGTTCTTTACAAACATAGATACCCTTAATGTGTAATACCGAATACAAAAAGAACGAACTAAATATCTTGAAAACTGTAGGAGTAGTTAAGGCCTCGGACAGACAGAGAAAGTGGCTGCAATAGCGCACCCAATTTCTATTCGTTGGGAAATGCGCTACAAAATGCTAGTTTAAAATAAAAGAACTAATTGTTGCTGTGAAAGACTATCCGGACTTTTATAGACGCTCAATATATGGAATTCGCCTTCAGAAAAAGGCGCTTTATAAATTTTTTGCACCCTGAGTATTGCCTCCTTTTTAGCGCATTTCCACAAAAATAAAAAAAAATGCGCTATTGTGGCCACTTTGTCCGTCCGTCCGGCTGTCCGTCCGTCCGCTCGTTTTGCGACGCTACTAGTTCTTTATCTTAAGAGCTATTGTTCTACTTTTTTCGCTATTTGGTTCGTTATGGTGTCGAGTCTTGTACCAAGGAAGCAATTTTTTCTGTACCGCTTACAAAAAAAGTTATTGTAAAAAAAATAAAAAACCGTTTTTTACATGTTCCATAATTTTACACTTTTGCCGTTTATTAACGATCCTAGAGATCGTTTATAATTTTTCATTGCTATCTGTCGCCTGCCGGTTGGTCTCTCCGTCTGTTCCTTTGTCTGTCTGTCCATCTATCTGTCCGTGTGAACGATAATTTTGTTTAGAAATGTTCGATCGCTTTTACATCTCCGTTAGTTATGAACTGAATTGCATGAAATTCAATATGGGCATAGCTTTAGCCATATAATACGCAAAACCAAAAGTTGAATCGAATCGATTCAAAATTCACAGTGCCCTTTTCGCATCTCGACCATTTATAAACCGAATTGCAAACTTTTTTACTTATAATAGTATTTGAATGAAATTTGATACATAGGCACTTGGAATAAAGGAAAATCTAGCGCCAGTTTCAAAATTTTATTTTGCGCATGCGCAGTGCCAACTTTTTTATCTATGGAAGCATTTAACTGAAATTTGATACTTAGGCGCTTGGAACAAAGGAAAATCTAACATTAGTTTCAAAATTTAGGTTTGCGCATGCGCAGTTCCAACTTTCTTATTTAGAAAAGCATTGAAATGAAATTCTTCTCATAAACTGAAATTGAAGTAGCACGTCAACAATGGATTGCCCATGTGCAATGCTATCTTTCATATTTGTGGCCGGATTTTTACGATTTTAACAGAAGTTGCATCTTACAAATGGGAAATGAATGCAAGTGGAAATGCGCTTTATGTAAATCGTTTACGATTACTTTTTAACTTGTTTCTTTTTTTAGTTTTTCGTTCAACTTCCGCCAAGATTGTTAATGCAATCATTTGATGATCAGGTGACCTACTCGATGAAGCTATGCTTTAAAACTGAACTGAACCGGACCGTTTGTTCTCTCACCAAAAGGACAATTTGTCGCGCCGCGAAGATCTCAAGGATCGTTCGGTATTCAGTTGTATCGGATTTTTTTCCCTCTGAATAGTAATGTTTTTAATACGGCACTACAGTCTCTCATGTTCGGATTTTTTCATTGTTTCGCCCCAGGTAGAGGCGCTATGTCCTGCCATAGACGACTGGTGACTGGTCTTAAGTTTTGAAGTTTCAGCCGAAAGGATTGGTTTCGAAGAAAATTTACATATCAACTTCGGGCAAATGCGGTGTATAGTTGGAGTAGGCCCTAAGGGTAAAGTAAGTGTGCAATGATTTTTAATGCCTTTATAAACATGGAAGATAGAAGTCTTGTCTATTACGAAAAAGGTGTAAACAATCTGCTATTGCTGTTTAAAAAATAGAAACTATTTGTCGATAATACAGTATGCAATAATATGACAAAGTACCTTGTTCAACGTTACGTTTGCTATCATGTAAAGCTGTTGTATGGTAAATAAACGTATGTAGAAAGAACGACGGATGTGTTAATTAAAATGGTTCGCTCTTGTTGCTGCAAATAACATTATTGCTGTTCCCACGTTCTCTAAAGTTCATTCTTTGTTAATTAGTTAAATATAACACCGAAAATAAACATTTAAAAGCGATTTGTTCTTGTTGAAAATGTCGCACGAACGGTTTATTGGCGTACAAAAAAATGCACAAGATAAATAATATTTCTTTTTTGTTTCAGTGTGTGGAAGGATGTAAAGTTTGGAAACAGGCGCTTGACTCTTCTTGTCAAACAGTTTGTGTAAGTATTTATTTACTTCGTTAAAGTTTACTTTGATTAAATATTGTTTTTTTGTAGTGCGTCACATACAATTGACTTTACTTATAAACAATTGATTATTAACACGGTCCCTGTCAATTAAAATACATATTTACGTACTTATAGCAATTTATAATAATTGTGTAATAATACTTGATTATGGAGCAAATTGTTACATTGATTTATTTAAAAATGAACAAAGATCAGTTGGAAATGGACGTTGTGAATCATATCCTCCAGTTTAAACCACCAGAGAAACAAGAATTAGTTCAATTTTCCACAAAAAAAACTCTGCATTAGATCGAGGTCATATTTTTGTGTTTTTAGTCATACAAATCCTGATCGATAGCACTATAATTTTAACCAATTTCTCTGGGAAAACTTCAAAATCAATTTCTCCCCTAATAAGGAAATCACTGTATGTGAAAAATACGGTGTGCAGAAAATCGCCGTTGGAATTTTCTCGTCCTCACGACAAGTTGCGCTAATTATTCCTACCTACCCCACCCGGCCTCTCGACGCGCCAATACCATATTACGTGGAAGCGGCGAAATTTTTAACCGCGCTCGCGCACTCGACGTCGATGTTCCGCAGCCGCTGCGAGACATTTTTGATCTACAGATTTTTTAGTATCGATGCGAAATCGTTTCTAGAAACGCACATAAAAATTTCATCAAAATCGGTGCATTTTAAAGAAATTAAAAATTAAAATCGAGAACTTCCCTGACTTTTCTATATGTATGTATATGATTTTAGACTCATTTACGTCTTTCGCAGACTCCACACAAATCTATAGAATATAGGCGATTAAATGTGGCATTTCAATATTTGAAACACTTTAGAATTGGTTAAGTCATAGGTTAAGTACCTACAGCATCCCGGTGCAAGGAAATTGGAATACTTGCATTCTGTATGGTATCTGGCTAAACAAATAAATAAATAAATAAAGAATTAGATCAAAATTAATTTGAGTTATTTTTTAGTTATCAAAAAACCATTTTCAAGCTCATTTTGTTTTGACACTGAAATTTTTTTTTAAAATGCGCCTGAAAGTTGTAGAAAAACTAATCTTTACAGAAAACTAATTCTGGTAGACGATAGAGGAGTGTTAGTCGTGTTAGAAAAAAATAACAAACATTTTCGGGTATCGCGTCTATCAATTATAGCTTGTGCGTATGCCACATTTATAAACATTTAAATGTAAAGTTGTGATTAGGATTTATCGCTTTCTAGGAAAGGTACACTGAGATAACTCAAACAGGGATAAGGGGTTATTGTGGTACCTATAATTTTTGTACTGGCCATTTTTGGTAAATTTATTTAATTTTAATATTTCAGTAAGATATTGTAGAAGCGAATTTTTGTGGCCCACTGAAAAGTTTCCGTGGCCTACCAATTTTCTGTCTTTCGTTTGTGGGCCCCGCAAGAAATACGTCATGGTCCCCGTTGAGACACAATGGCCTAATCTGCCTTGAATTGTGTTTCACTAATAATGGCCAGTATTTTATACATCTGATCACTGATGTAATTGTTTTTATTGTTTTGTTGCCTCGAATAGATTTTTTTTAGTTCACCACAGCCTACTTGATTAAAATATAAAAACCGTTGATATAACTGGTATCTTATTTTCAATCTTATGCTATGATAGCTCGTTGAAAAGAGAATTTAAAAATCTATCAAATAATCTAAAAATCCAATATGGCGCCTATTTAACTTTAGAAAGCTATAGTAAATGTTCCTCAAAGTATCTTGAATTTTTTTTAACATCAATTCTAAATGAAGAGTATCAAAGACAGTAAACTAATACAACACTTTTTTATGTCTCTTATACTTTTGATGATATAAGACATTAAAGGAAATGGCCAATTTTAGTTTTTTTGAATTTACGTCGAACCAATTCGACATTTTGAATTTCCACAAGCAAATTTGAAAAGTATCTAAAACTGCAAAACATTGTCCATTTAACCAATTCTCAATCTTTAATAATAAGAAAGTTACCCATGCAATCCCACGCGATCTGAGACACACTGTATAAGCATGGACACATCAATGGGAACCAACCTTGAAAAGTAAGCATATGGTTAAATTCAACAGCGCCAAAACAGAGATTAGTATCAACAAAGACTATCCTCCTCCTGGAAGAGTCTTTCTCTTTGGTATCAAGTACCCCTAAACCTCAGCTCTCTTATTCTGGGCCTCAATAGGCTTGCGCCCAATTACAGAGTGACCCGCCATGATCAAATACCTGACCTGCATCTTGCAAATGTAAAGTAGGTACCTTCTCAAAGTATTGTGTGCTACGATGACCAGTTTGATTACATTAGGTAGTAATTACGAACATCTTGTTAACCATCTCCATGCATACCATCGTTGTTTAGAAGAAATAATACTTTTCTTTTTTAGAATGGCACTCTCGAGCCCTTATCATCAAAGGAGCTGTACTGTGTGATGAGTTGTAACGATGCGTTAACAAGATACTGTAACCAACTACGAGCAAAATTGGGAACTCCAATTGCACCGGCCTTGGTTGCAGACTCTCTAACATCTACATCATTACGACTTGAATGGAAATTTCCAGAAGCTATACATGCCGGTTTAAAATATTTCGTCCAGTGGAGATATGAAGAACTCGCAGCGTCATGGCAATACTGTCGAAATCATTCCTGGGGGCCTAATGACACTGTTATGGTTGACAATTTACAGCCTTATACGAAATATCGAGTAAGTGCAATTTTTGGGACAATTTGGATGTTAGTGTAATTTACTCAGCATTATTAGAGTGAAAGATTTGTTATTGAAATATACCTATTTGTTACAGTTTCGAGTGGCACTTCTGCTATCGCCGCAAACTGAGCCAATAGTCTCCGCTCCTAGTGTAGTAATTAGTACCTTACCTGCTGGAGTACCGACATCGCCACCTATTATTGTACGAGCAGTACCAATCGATTCAACACATATCAGCATTAGCTGGGAACCTGGTCCTTTTCCACATGGCCCTCTCCTTTCCTATGTGCTTCGTATAAATGACAGCGACGGATACTCGGCACTTAAGGTGTGCCATTAAAGATTTATTGATATTCGAACAGTCGTATTCTTACACTGCATTGTCTATATCACTTTTTTACATAATGCTTTTAAGTAGACATATTAAAGGGAGTATAAATATAATTCAAATATCTAGCTTTGTTTTTCTAATACCATGTGTAATACAACATATACTCACTTTAATATTCATCACAACACAATTCAATAGCAGCTTTTTTTTCACTTTGATTTATTTCACGTGTTTCTTCAACCATATTTAAAAAATGTTTTTTTCAGGTTTTTCTTGAACGACGTGCATACCTTTCTTCAAATTTTTGTAAATATGTACTATCTACTTTTTTTGTAAACAATCCGATTTTTTTTTAATTTGCTGAAATATTTAACAGCTCCTTTTCCTCAAATGTAATTGCCTTGCTTGAATAATTGCATGATTCATTTATTTCCTGCTGTAAATACCTCTGCTTACTGCTTATTAAGTGTAAATATAAGTCTAATTTTGTTCATTATGAATAGTGTACATTTTGTGTTCTGAGTTCTAAGAAATTTTACATATTCACCAGAGGTATGAGTGCCTAATCAGAACAGCACCATACTGGCATATAACCTCTGTAATGCACTAGTTATTTCCAATTAGCAATACTGAAATGAACCACCAGCAAAAATGTACGCTTTTCAACACTTTGCAGCAGTATTGAATATGAGTATACCAATGAGTTCGATTTGTAGGATATACCCGCCGAAAATACATTTTATACTTATCGGGATTTAATGCCTGCTCGGAACTACACCGTGGCGATTAGCATGACTAATGGGGTTGGTACAGGTCCAGCAGCTGAAATATTAGTATCTACGCCTCAGGAATCATTAGGTTATTTTATATTCTATCGAATAAAATCCATAACTTTGTTCATTATAGTGAAAGAATTACAACAACCGGTCTTAATACTTAACTCGCATCATTTAGTTATAGAACAAGGGACTGATATGTTAGCTGTTCCTGTTGTCCTTTACAGTACACAAGAGCTCATTAAAGGTAAGAAATTGCGCATTTAACTATTTGTTATTACCTATATCACCTTTTTCGTAGGAATTGCTATCCATATAAGTAAGAAATTGCTATTTGTGTCTGACTCATCAGCAAAGGTTTACAAAATATCTTTTGCAAATACGACCATAAGTTCAACTCCCTCAAGTATTCTTTCTCATCCACATATTGATTTTTTGCCTCAGGAATTGTCAGTCGATTGGTTAAACAATCAACTATATATATTAGGAGAAGTAACACACCAACGACAAGTATGGCAGATAACACGTTGTAACTTAGATGGTCATGGACATCAAGTAGCTTTGGCAGGTTTGAGAGTCAAGCCCCATCATATTGAAGTTGACCCATATAATGGGTAAGTACATATATAAATTGCTAATAACATTGTGCGTATAAAAAAAATAACACACCATAGTGTATAACCCTTAGACCATATAGTACATGGACTGCTAATTGTAACTAAAATATGGTCAAGGACATCGCCTGGGTATGTGAGTTTCAGGGTAAACGAGTCTGTCCGAAATTGTCCGATTAGATACGATTTGAGACTGGTCAACCTATAAATTAACAAACGTCAATTAATTAATCGCCTAGATATGGGAAAAAGCAAACTATTCTTATTTGTGGACATATAGAAGATAATAAAGACTCAAGAATATTTAAAGCTTCCCGTACTACGCCGCCGTTACCATTCTGCTCTTTACGCGATTCAAGTGCACGGTCTGTGGACCGTGATCCATGTGGTGTTCATACATGGACTTCATAATGAAATCTGTGTATTCATACGACTTTAGTTTACCCTGAGATTTACATACCAACGACTACAGTGCCCTCTATCCGTGACCACCCATTTTGTATTGAAAGCATAGGGCTAATAGCAGTCCCAGTCCATGTACTACCTATATGGTCTAAGGTATAACCTCAAAATTTGCTATAGAAATCTATATCATTGGTGCTGTATCATATTGGTTGGTTTCACATAATACAAGCGTAATGCAAACACGTAGTTTTGGTTAGTTTAGTAGGTATATTCTGTGGTTAGATGCACCAAGATCAAAATTCCAAAAAAAACTGAAATAAAACCATTCTATTACTCTCGCCAGGAAAGATTGCTGGTCACAGCACACCTTGTGTCGATCTACAATCTATGTTTTTCTTAAGAGGCGACCAACTTATAGGATCGTGCCAAAGTTGAACAAAAAATCTTTTCATTCAACATTGACACGATACTATCTCGGAAGTCGCTAGCATCTTAAGGAAAACATAGATTGTAGACCGGGATCAGGTCTTCTGTGACCGGCAATCTTTCCTGGCGAGAGATTTATGTAATAAAGCAAAGATCATTATATGAATGTCACTGACATTCATGGCTAGCGTTGCACATGTACCTAGGTACACATCTACAACTTCAAGCGTTCAGAATATCTGGTACCTGCGTAGGTTGATAGCCTGAAAAATTTTTTTATAACATTTATAACATAACGCTTTGTCCCAGGCGAAAAAATTAAATGCAACAAATTTTCTATCATACTTTTTTTTAAAAAAACCTATAATAATACGTGATTTTTTGCCTTTCTTGAATCTTGAATTGTATAATGACATGATACCTACGTCATTCAAATCGAAAACGAAAAAAGTTCACATGTGTTTATGAATAGAATCGAATTTTTGTTTTTTGTACAGGCATTAATATTAGATTTTTAACAAACACAACAATGAGCTTGATAAACTTGTATTAATTGTTTTGCAGATTTCTGTTTTGGGTTATTCAAGGAAGCACTGGGGGAGGCCTATTTAGATTAGATCTTGCAGATATTAGTAATGGAATAAAACATAACGTACATCCGGAACAAATACTTTCTGAACCAAATTTAGGAGCCTTTACAGTTGACCACACTAATTTCCGCTTGCTATGTTCGAACCAAAATCAAAATACCATCAACTCTGTGTCTTTGGATGGGTATGTATCACTAAAAAAAATTTAATCTGAACATTATTCAACGAATTATAGAAAAGAAATAATTAATGTAAGACCAAAGATTATAACGCGAAAGTTGCAGAAGGTGTTATCTTTGGCAACTGCTAATAAAACTTTCTATTGGACAGACGGAAACGATGTGTTTTATGAGGAATTCCATTCGTCAAGAGAAAGTTATTATCACAACACATACCCAGACTTAGCAGATCGCCCATATTTGAAAGTTATTGTTAATTTGGAAAGTTCTCAACCGACACCAATTCCTATTAATCCCCCTACATTGTTACAAGCAATATTTGGCCCTAAACTAGTAAAAATATCTTGGAAAGCACCGCACCTTTTAGGGGATCAAGGAAAAGGTGCATGGCAGAATTGGTCTTATGAAATATCAATCAAGGCTGTAAACAATAATAACACGAGGATTCACAAAAATATCAATGTGACGTCGTGTACCATTTCAAATTTGGAAGAAGGCGAAGAGTACGTTATAAAGGCGGCGGCGTATACAAATTTGGGGAAAGGTCCGTGGTCTTCCGAGTTTCGCGGGAGGACACTGAAAGTTTCAAAAAATGGAAAGTACCCGACAATATTGTGGTCTGCCGCTAGCGGACTGTTGAGATCCGATGCGACTGGTGAAAATGTACAAACACTTGTTCAGAAAAATGTTATGAATGATTATCATATTATCGATATAGCGTGGCACAATGATTGTATATATGTGGTAACAAATAATTCTCAAATATTTTGGCACAACTTGAAAACCCACAAAGGAGGCCAATTGGTTGATATCGAGTCTGTTAGTAGTATCGCAGTGGATTGGATAGGGAAAAAATTATATTGGTCAAATCCCAAACAACAGCTGGTAAGAAACATACCCAAAAATAAAACGTTTTGCATATCCTGTTCTCAATAGATTTTAAGAGGTAATTTAAATGGTACACAACAAGAACCTCTTCCCATTTTGACGTTAGCCAAGGAGTTAAACATTGATGCTGTTCAAGCATATTTATATTGGTCAACAGGACATGCAGTCGAATGCTCACGTTTAAATGGAGCCGATAGGATTGTTTATCATCCTGCTCAACATTTTTCTGGAAAGCAAGGTTTGTCATCTTAGTTATAATGTTTTTGTAAAGATGTTTCTAAATGTCTTCTCCCTTCTCTTTAATCTTGCTAAAATATTTTCTTTTGTTTCCTTATGCTCAACTACGTTAATTAAAACATCTTTATTATTTCTTTTTTCCGGAATTTTGCGCAATAAAAGCAATTAGAAGTAAGTACCTACAATCGAATTATTTTGCTTCCTGAACAATTTGTTTTTCTTCATTGATTCTTCTTCTTCCCTGCTATATAAAAGCCTTATGAAGTTTATTTAAGACAATTTCAAAGAAAATATTTTAGTAACATCATAGAGAAATCTTAATTACGTGTACCTATATCGAAAAATTGTTTTTTCAATTTTTGGCGATTCTCTCTAAATGTTCTGATCGGAATGAATTTTTTATTTTTACCGGCTCAAAAAAGTGTCTTCATTTTTTATAATTTTCCTCCAAATTTCAGACCTCTACGACCCAAAAATAAAAATAGAAAACGAATTTTCCGGTTTTTCTCGGAAAAATTTGAGGTTATGTGAAAAAAGTGTAGATACAAAAGTTCACTTCTTTATGCCCTACAACTTTTACTTCGAATAATTTCACCTAAAATTAATTTTGCAATAAATTGCAAAATACTACTTTTAATCCCTTCCAACACCCAGTCTGGAGATATTCACTGGTGAAAATTGCTGTTCTTCTGCACTTTCTGCTTCTCCTGTTGTTCTTTGGCGTTGACCTCGCTACAGCAAAAACTGCTGGGCCGATATTAATGAAAGATGTGTCAATGAACTTGGGGTAGATGTGCCTTTGAATATTTCAATGAATAAATATACAGCTCCAAGAAAGTTACAAATGAGGGAAAACCAAAGGAGCGTATAATTACGTATGAGGTGGGGCCCAAACAAGATTTTATGATCACTGGACCAAAGGGTTTCTTTATGGTGTAAAGTGATATTTTTGGAGGATTCTTCCCAGTTTATAAACGTCCTTCGAAAAGGTCACTCAGATTTCTGCCAATGGAGCATGCGATTCAAGCAATAGATTTCAACTATAACCTATAGCACAAACATTTCAAGGGTGAATCGACAGTAACTCATTTTTGATCGCATTGTATTTGTTACGTAGCTGAATCCAAGTCAGATACCTTGGATTTTTATGTCTGTCTGGAAGAAGCACTGTATGTCAGACTAGGTAGTTTGGAAAGAACTCTACTGATCTTGCGTCAAATTGGCTATCGGCTGCGTTTCTGATTCATTCTTAAAGGCAGGATTTCGTTTGCTCATTTTCTAAAGTCAGCACATACCTACTCTTAATTAACATTAATTTATTTTTATACAGTAATGGGTTTAACGTTAGACATGCATCGAAATATGGTATATTGGATTATAAGAGGATCCGAAGGTTCAAACTTATTTAGAGCTCCCATGGCCGGCGCATTTCTGCCGGGCACAAAACCTGTTCCCGAATCTGTGTCTGGTTTACAAAAACCAGATATGCAAGGCCCGCTTTGTTACTTCAACGATCGCCTACTGTGGTTAAAAGATGATAAAAATGCGGTTATTAGCGACTTGATGGGAAAAAATGTTGCCAACATTCAAGGCAAGGATCTCTCTGGTCTCACTATGATTTTTGTAATGGATTCGAATGTTCATACATGGCCAAGTATATCACCCATGCATGCGAATGGCTATCTGTTACTGATTATTTTAGATATTTCCAGCAAAATCGGTGATGATGTTTCGGTTATACCTGAGCCAATAAATCGCAATTCGATCAAAGTGGTTGGGTTCTGGGATTCGTTTAATATAACATGGGAACCGTCTCAGAAAGTAAACTTTGGAACTGTGTTCTACGAAATAAAAGTTGATAATTTCCTGAAAAATAGTTCAACTGTAAGTATTTATGTTTAATTTATTTGGCAACAATAAGTAATTAGTATTTGGTTTGCAGAAAGTGACGACATTTCCATCAATACAGTATTGGCAATCATTAGAGCCATATACAAAACTACAGATAACAATCAAAGCTTACACATATTGGGGATCATCTGCAATTGTCAGGGCTAAAATTTACTCACCTCCCTCTACACCTTCTGCGCCTGAAAATCTGCGTACGTACTTGTCCCATCAGTACCATCATAATGACACAAAAACTGTGGATATTACAATTAGATGGGATGCTCCGTTACTTTCGAATGGCGTGATTCAGGGCTACAAAGTAAAGTGTTGGTATACAGAAAACCTCACCAATATTAACCTTTGTGAATACATAGAGAAAAAATTCAACGAGAAAGAACATATTTTGAAGAATTTACAGATGGACAAAATTTATTATGTACAGGTACTGATAAAACCAATTAACAATTCTATTAAGACTATAATTTTTGTTCCGCACTAGGTTCAAGCGTATACAGAAATAGGTGATGGTTCACCTTCCAAAGTTGTACAAGTAAATACAACCGAGGGTCTACCTTTGCCAAAACTACTAGTTGCTACAAGTGATTCAATATTTATCCATGACATGGATAAGAACAAAAACGACCAGTTACTGCATGGAATTAGCACTCCACTTGAATTAGCCTACATCATCAAAGAGAATAAAGTGTTTTGGATAAATGATATGCACGAACTGCTTGTTTTTAGTTTGACAAACCTTAATAGAACGAAAATTTGCGATTTAAATGGGGAGGTGTATGGTTTGACAATCGATTGGGTAGAGAGAAGTTTGTATTACATACAAATATTGAGCCTAGAAACATATTCTGTCAATAAATTGGATTTAAATTATATTGACAAAGGAAGTGCTGTGAAGATTAACGAAGTGTTCAGAAGACCCTATGCCATTTCAAAAGTTGAAGTATCTCCGTTTAGCAAGTAAGTTTTAAAATTTAGATATACTTTAGTAGAGTTTTCAAATTATTTAAATTAAGCTCTAAGGATCCCACCCAAAAGTATAGAATTGTTAGGGCGTCATCACTATGCCGTTAAGCTATCTTTTTAATTACATATGCATGATCTCATGTATTGGGTAACAAACGTTTGACACCTTCAAATTTATGCAAAACATTAATTATATCCGCCCTCAGGATATCTATACTAAAAACGTCTAGAACCTTCCTTTCTCTTAAAGAACTTGTGTCGGCATGTCTTGTAGATACTTAGTAGTGTATATAGTTCATAGTAATATATGCAGAAGTGGTTCTTTGTGCTCCTCCCACCTCCAGCATAATGGTTCTGTTTCAAGCTTTTTGTGTCATCATAGTGGAGGCTTAACCTGTTTGATCAGAGATATTCTTCCAGTATCTTTCGGAATTTTTTTTATTTTCTTCCCACCATGACATGTGCATTTCGACATGTTGGATGAGGGTCTTGTGAAAAGCAGTTATTCCCTTTATCTGGCAAATCAAGCGGCCATGTCATTACCTTATTGATGGAATGGACCGTACCCCATATCACATTGCCCTTTTTTCCTTTCCACAAACTGACACAGGCGTTAGATGCACTCCAGCAACCAACCAAAGTTCAGCTTTTCATGCTACCTAGCTATTGGTTACTGTAGGGACATTCTTGTGTCCAAAATTTTTGATTTGTACACTTGTCAGATAATTGACTTTAGAGAATTACTCTGAAACACCTCTTCCAGTATCTAGGAAGGCACCCAATGTCATTTTTATGCGCTCGACGCGATGCTGAGAAAACTGTGTAAAGCCTATTCACAAAATTCTGGCCTCCCCTGAAACGGGGTCCAATCGCCCCCTCATCATGTCCATCAACCTGTTCTCACTCTCCCTCTTCGTTGAGTCCCGGAAAACTTGTACATTATATTATGAAGTGCAGAAGGTGTTCAAGCATCTCATGACCATTTTTATGAAAACTTCCCAACTCATCAGAAAGTTCTCTGTGACATGGCCATTTGATCCGCTTAACTGTAAATTATTTAAGGGCAGTTAATGTTTGAACACTGTAGAGTAAAACTTTGTTACAACAAAGGGTTAGGGCTGCGAAAAATTATCGATATGTCAAGAATTATCGATAAATATCGAAAGTGAAGTCTATTGATATAATCAATATATCGCTAACTATGTATCTGAAACTCTAACGGTAATTATCAATAAGTATCATTAATCGAGTTCTATCGATAATTACCTATAATATATATATTTATCGATAATATCTACGCAGTTCACTGTCATTTTCCTTCGAACATCCACTATGACTACAGTACAGATAATAAAAATTTCCCAGGTGCCAAATTCTCAGAATCGATCCGAAATCACCTCAAGAGACTCTCATAAAAATTTGATCCAAATCGCCATACGAATGAAAAAATGAAAAATGAAAATTGAGTTAACGGTTGACTTTACTAAAATTATCGATAAACGATATATCAATAAACGATATAGGTATCAATAATTTTTTATTATCGATAGTGAATTTCTATTATCTCGCAGTCCTAGTTGTAGTTAATTTCAGTTATGAAGAAGGAATAATTGAATATTTATTAACTGAGGTATCTTATTAATGTGAAGTTGCGGGGAGTCGCAGTGAAGTATGTTAGGTCGTAAAGTAGTGTTAAATTCGGAAGCTTGAGTAAGTGCATACCTTAGGTTTTACGAACTAAGATTATGAGTTATTTTGGAGAATTGAATGTTATGTAGTTGCTGGAGAGCAGTATAATTATTGGGGCAAAAAACAGCATTTCATTGTATCATATACCTATGTGGAATAATATTCTCCCCGTTTTTACTATTAGCTAATTTCTGGATCCCGCTGATGCATATACTTACACATAGTTCTATAACATACAACAAAAACTGTTACACAGCAGATATTTTTAATTCTGTTCCCAGCACCGTTCAGCACTTTCCTGTTTTTATATCTATACTCTGGTGTACTTTTACGCACGGGCCACGGCGTGTGTTGTGGTGCTGATACTTATACACCTACGATAGGATATATAAATTGCCATATTAATACTCTGATCTTTTAGGAAAATCTATTGGGTAGAGGTGGACGACGATCAAAGTCATCTAATGCAGTGTAATACAAATGGAACTGAAATTAAACCATTTTTGTCGCCACATGGTTACATTAAACGAGATGTAGAAGTGGATTATCCATTATGTAATTGTCCTTTAAATCCAGTTGTCGAAAAAACGTTTGCCATTGATCATTCAAATTTGAAAATCAACCCACAAGTGGTGTTTGCCGACTCTGACACATATGATATTATCTCTGCAGACAAGTATGGGTGTAATTGTCAAGTTATAGCGCATAAAAGTTTGCTCAAGGACAGTTTTCCTTTAAACACCCTTAGATCCGATTTTGGAACATTGTACTGGACAAATTCAACCCAAGGGTTAGTGTATTCTCTGAGGAAAAATGACACTGCAATTACTAACAGGGAACATATGAATGTACAAAACATTTTAATATTTGGCACCCACATGCAACCTTACCCTCCACGTAAATGTCTAACTATACAACCTGGCAACAATGTTTCGGTTCAATTACTAAAAAAAACTTCAACATCTTTGACATTAGCATTACCCGAAATTAAGCTTGATCCCGATTGCCAAACAGTATCTATTCCAACAATTGAATATAAAATATTTTACAAACCATATAATGAGGGTACTTCTGAAAGCTGCGATAATTCTGAAAGGTGCAATCAAATAACCACCTTCACAAAAGCAATAACAATATCAAACCTCAAATCATTTACGAAATATGTATTCATAGTTCGAGTAGGGAATTACTTCACACATTCTGCGAATGTATATATGGGACCGCCAGTCATACTTCAAACATCAGTTGGAGGTATGTACAAATGTAATTGCCATCCACATACGGATCATTGTGTATGTTTCAGCTCCATCAAAGCCGGAAAACGTCACAGCCACGATTTTGAACCCTACACTTATTGAAGTAAGCTGGGCGCCTCCACGAGAAATGAACTCAGAGTCAGTTTCATATGAAATCCATTGGCAAACTGCTGGAGACATTAATGGCATTAGACAAAAAGGGGAACAAATTGTCTCCAATCCAACACGTAAAAATATAAGCAATTTCTCGGCTCAATTGTACAAATTATCCCCCAATGAAACATACTTGGTTTGGATACGGGCATACAGTCAATCTGAAGATAAGATCACTCACCAAAGTAATATCGAATTAGTGTCAAGTGATAGTGAGAGTATCAAAATTACCACCTATGCAGAACCAGAAAATATTACATTAATGAATAGTACTGCGGATGAACTTTCTATACAAATGAAAATATATTCCTATGCCAAACATTATGTGTTACAGTATGCGTATTATATGTCCAGTGATTGGATTAACATTGAAAATGATACTACTTGTATAGTGAACGACACAATTACAATGAGAATTACAAATTTACATCCAAAAACACAATATAAGTTCAGGATGGTTATTAGGTACCCGAACTATTCCCAACCTTACATTTGGCCAACAGATTCTCGTTTTACATTCGAAACATTGGGTAGGTTACGTTTTGTATCTTATCATACATGTTTCAATTTTCATCTTTAGGCGATCGTCCTTCACCGCCAGGTGTTCCGATTATTCAACATATAAAGGCTGACGTATATCAAGTTTGGTGGGAGCCTTCAAAAGAGAATGGAGCCGCTATCGAGATGTATTTACTAGAAGGTTTGAGGATACCAAACTATCGTAACAAACGTAGCGCCAACAGACCAGCTTGGTTCCATAACGCACCCTCTGTTGATGAGCATGAAGATAACTGGATTCCTTTGTATAATGGGACAGGTATTACCTTGTTTAATTTTTACCACATTAATTTTTCATGGTAATTGAATGGAACTACAAATCATTTCCAACATTTTGACACACGCGTTTATCTAAGAAAAATTACGTTTTTTTACTTTTGAATATACCTTGTCACTTTCCATTCATTTTATTTGGTCACTCTACACATTGCTTTGTGAGAGCCTTTTCGATGGTGTTTGTTATTTTGGTAATTTTCAAGAACTAATTTTACAGTCGTTAATTTTATATTCAAAATCCCTAAATAGCAAATTTAATCGAGAATCAAATTGTGTTCGTACTTTTGCTTAGGAGCGAGCCATCTTGTGGTAGGAAAATTGGAAAGGGCATGCCTAAGGCGCCTTCCTTTTTTGCGTTATGGTTGCAGAGAAAAAAATGTTGTTGCGACAAAACATTTTGAACCCTCAATTGGCTTTCGATACCCATCAATTCACAAACTCAATGTTTCCGAAAGGTGCAACTCTTGACTCAAAAGTGGGAAGAGACGCTTCGTAATTGCGTACACATTGATACTCTTAACAATACACATTGTGCCTTGTGTATGGGCAAGAATTTCATGTTACGCGGTCTAAAAGTTACCGCGTTTACGTTACGTAGTTTTACCTCGAGTTTCGCTAAGAATCAATACGCGATCGAAAAATGCCGCGCTCCACCTGCATAGATTCACTCCGAAAGTTTGGCTAAGAATGCCTCTCTCCCACCTGATTTTTACTTATGTACTCGCCAAATCCCACACAAGAAACGGACGCAACGAAATACCCTTTTTAGTTATGTTTTTTAATGCATGTGAAGGTATAGCACATCTCTCCCTCATGCTCTGTCGCCGACGGTTTTTAGAACCGACAACACTGTAACGTTTCCACTCTTATCTGCTTGAACACTTGTTCTTATGTTAACGCGTTTTATTTTCTTGTACCGGCAATTTTGTAAAATCAAAACTAAAATTTGGTAATCCTAAAGCTACCAGCTGTTACAACATTAGGCATAAAGGATGTAAGATTGTCAAAAACGGTTTTTTATATGGTTTGAGCTAGGAAGCTGTTCTGTGAAGAATTTGGCGGCTGGTTTTAAACTTATGAAAACTAAGAATCAGTTCAAAAGGTTTCGCGAATTGAAAACACGCGTCAAAAAGTAGATTGTACATGCGCCAGTAAACTTTCTTGCTTGCGAGCAGATTTTTCCAAAAGAAGGTGCTTTTCAAGCAACAGTTTGTAATCATTTTGGTTAAATGACTGAAAACGTATTTGGCTTGAGTACATTTTTTCGAAAAAAAAACTAGCCGTTATTCATAATTAAAAACATGGCTGTACAAGGGTAAACTTTCAACTCGCGTTTGTTTATCACTTATGAATAATAACCCGAGTAATAACCATACGTTCAAATGCTGAAAGTTTTATCTTTCCAGCCACAATTTGTCCACAATAAATCCTTTATGGCTCATGGTATCTATTATGTTTGAATTGTTATATTTTGCCCATCCATGTAGACTGCAATTTATATTATTGCTTCAGATACATTTTGGATCATCACTGGATTAAAAGATGATTATCGATACGCCTTTCGTGCCTCCGCGTTGAACACATATGGTTGGAGTAACACAAGTGAAGAGAGTTCAGAATTCGATTTAAATGTAGCTGCACAATTAGCAGAGAAACAGGACCCAGTGAGTTTATTTATCATAGCCGGTATTCCAGTTGCTATTTGTGTTGTGCTCGTCATTTGCGTTTTTTGTTGCTGTAAGACAGGTTTCTTAATTCCATTTGGACATCAAAGTAATTCTTAATTTGTAGGTAGACTGTGTTGCTCAAAGAGCAAAGAAAAACAAATGATTGCAATACCAAGAGGGCCCGATGCTGAGTTGGCTACGTTGAGAGAACTACCAAGGCGATGGGTGCATAATACAAACATTCTATATACTGCAAATCAGTTGAATCCTGATGAAATCACAATGCTGCCGCACATACGAAGGTAAGTAGTTATCTAACCCTAACGGTGAGCCCACTTTGACCTTGAGCTCTGCAATTGTGCCAATTTCAAGGTTAGTTTATCAAACAGTTGGGTTAAACGAAACTGATTCTGTCAACAGGTCAGTTAAACAGAAACAGGTCTGTTCATAAATATCAGATCTATTCCATAAACACAGCTCTCTTTAGTCGAAATAAGTCCGTTTAAGAAAATCGTTTAAACGACCTGTTTTCCTGGACAAACAGAACTGAATCTCGGTGTCAAAGTGGACTCACATATCGGCCTATTGCTTATTTTCTAGGGTAGATCTTTTTTCTAAAATACAGTGTCAATTAGTGTTCCTTTATCTGTAACGTTGTGTAAGTAAAGAGTATACATGTCTATTCAAATTGTAAAACGTCTTGTGCAGTCATGGTGTAATAAAATATATCATTCTGTGGTTTGTATTTAGAATTCTAAACAGCTAGACATTGAAATATCATTAATAATCCTAAACTTTTCAGGGACCAAATAAAATTAATGAAGTTTCTTGGAAGTGGTGCCTTTGGAGAGGTGTTTGAAGGTAAAGCTAGGAATGTAAACAGCGATGAATCCGAAGTAAATGTTGCTATTAAGGTAAGTTTTATTTCTGCCGAATCTTCACAGACAATATAATCTTGCAGACACTGCGTAAGGGAGCTTCAGATACGGAAAAATGTGAATTTTTACAAGAAGCACAGCTCATGTCGCATTTTAAACATGAACATATCCTACAGTTACTGGGCGTATGTTTGGACAACGATCCCCAATTCATTATCATGGAACTAATGCAAGGAGGCGACTTGTTAACGTATTTGAGGTCCTCACGTAATCCATTGGTAAGATTTAAAGATGTATAATAGTTAAATAGATAGGCTTTTTGTAGACAAATACACCATCTCTCACATTGAAGGAATTGCTAAAGATGTGTGTTGATGTAGCTAAAGGTTGTCGATATCTGGAAGAAATGCATTTTGTGCACAGAGATTTGGCGTGTAGAAATTGTTTGGTGTCTTCAACGGATCCCAGTCAGCGCATCGTGAAAATTGGCGATTTTGGCTTAACTCGAGATATTTACAAAAATGATTATTACCGAAAAGAAGGCGAGGGACTACTTCCGGTTCGGTGGATGGCCCCTGAATCGTTGGTGGACGGCGTCTTTACGTGCCAGTCGGACGTATGGGCTTTTGGAGTATTATTGTGGGAAATTATGACTTTAGGACAACAGCCATATCCAGCCAGGACCAATTTAGAGGTGCTACACTATGTGAAAGGCGGAGGAAGACTGGGAAAGCCAGTGGATTGCCCTGACAAATTGTAAGTAATTTTCTATCAATAATATAGTGGATAATATACAGTCTGTCTCTAAATGGAGTTAATTGCATATGTAGGTTTTTCTCTATCAATGATTCAATGCTACCTACAACGAATTAATCATGCGTTCCTAAAATCAGGACAGACTTCTTTGCAATTTCTGCCATACTTTCCCGTGCAAAGATCTGTTTCAAGATTTTTGGCTCAGATTAGATTTTTAATTACATACATTCTTAAATTCTACCAGAAAAAACTGATGATATTAAAGACAATCACGTGCAACCACTGACTAGCAATTTCTTATTTCAGACATGAACTAATGCTCAAGTGTTGGAGTTACGAACCCGAGAGGCGACCTACATTTAAATATTGTTTATCAATGCTTGATGATCTGCACGTGAAAATGGCAAATGACACAACAAGTGCTCATGACGGTCAATACATAAGCACAGTTCTTCAATGTAAGTTTTAACAACTTTAATTTCACCCATAATTAAAATCGTTGAATATGCACAAACCAATGGGTCATAACTAAATTCTGTAAATAACTAATGCACTAACATTACAGGAAAAAATAAGTAATGATATTTTGTAAATATTCTTATAAATTTCTCTGAAACTTGCTAATTAGACTAACAATCTTTCCAGTGTCTGACGGAGTATTTAATCAAGCGTATTTTCAAGACGAAATCCTTATAAAACCAGGTAACATTACCTAATTGTATATAAAGGCACTGGTTTTGGTCACACAGTAGAAAAGTTGGTAGTGCACACACCTTATTTTTCCAAGTGTTTTATTTGCAAATCTAATTGCTTTCATTTTTTCAGCGCCATGGAAAGGTGTAAGTGACGATGATGCAGATAAAGAGAAAACCCCGTTTCTGAAAGAAAATGATGGTAAAATTCCTGTATATTTGGAACTTATATATGATGGAAATTGCCCTGATGATAACGACGGCTATGAAATTCCTAGGTCCAGCATGCGAAGTAGCAAAAGTGAAGTTTCCAAAAAAGACCAACAGTGTGATTTAAACAAGAACGAAGATGAGTATAAAAATAATATAGCAGACAGTAATGGAACAGAAAGAAAAGTTAATGATAAGGTTAATAGCAATGACAACAAAACGCATTATATCAACCCTGAAAATGAAACAGAAATGAAATAGATGATTTAGATGTAAAAAGGAATGAGGAGGATCAGTGCTTTTATAGCTATACTATTTGTACCTGAGTTACGTGAATGTGATGACCTATTTAAACCAGTGAAGAAGCAAATGAATATGCCGCAGAGGATGTGTCAGAATATAAACAAAAGTTTATATGTCGAAGCTACATACTGTGTATGCCAGTTATGAGTATTAGGCTGTCCAAAGTTTCCATAGTCTTTATTGTTAAATATTTTTAAGAATGTAAATAAAGTTAATTTAAGAAATTATTGAATTTGTTTGTAACCTAAAAATAAACAATAACGTTCTTAAATATATATAGGGCATTACTTGGAATGAAATATTTGTCTTAAGTTAGATTTGCTTAAGGTGCAGTTTGAGGTTCACACAGATTCATTGCATTGTAAAATGTAGCATCACTTTTGCATTTGCCTTAGTTTTAATTGTAATTCTTCGCTTTATTGTAAATGCTGTTGCCTTCAGTTGCTTGTAACCGAGGGTAAGGTGAACCTTGAATTTGGTTGTTATTTGCAATTTTCAAGATTTATTTTTTATTTTGATTTGTTTGAAATTGACCAGTTGTTAATGTGCATTTGATGTTTAAACTTATTTAGATTGATTAGCTTAGTGTAGGAATCTGCCCTTTTAATGTCGGTAACTGTTTCCTGTGCAGAGATGCTGAAGTTACAAAATTAGAAGCAGCATTCATCTCCAAATATACCTTTAGTCTAAAAGTTACTGTACCAGGGACCTTAGATACATTCTGGACTGTAGGAAGTCCGAACTAACTTGATCTAAGAGACTTCGGAATGTTTCACAATTTAAAAGTGGGAAACGATATGGCGTCACTCTTAAACTCGTCAAATTTTCTGGGGTGGAACAATAATTTTTCCGCAATGGTCCACATGCCGCTGCTGTACATGCCCTCTCCTGTCTAATGTTTTGTAGGTCACTGTGCCCAATTGTCATACAAGCTTTTCCTCCTTCCATTTAGGCACATTTCCACCTCCTTAACTTCCTAGCCATTACTGGGGCTGTTTGGTGGAATACCCGTGTTGTTCTCAATCTGGTCAGATTCATCTTTCCTTAGTACTCCCGCAATTTCCTTGTTAAACTAGGTCATAATTGATCCAGGCACATGCGAATATTTTGTTTGAAAAGTAACTCTGACGTAGATATACCCGTCGCTGCTATTGGCGCAATGTATTGTGTTGACGAACATTTTCACTTCCCAGTATCTGACACTCGCCTTCTTTAAAGTCTTTTTCGTTTCTTGGACCATCCTTTTTGCTTGTTCGTTTGACGATTGTTGATCACAGAATGGTTCAGCGTGATCGATGTGGATCCTGTTCCAAGACGGCTCACTCCATTCCCACGGGTGTATTGGCGCCTGCGCTGCCAATTTCTGTTGTTGCTGGCACTCTTCACAATTGATGGCCAGCAAACATACCACCATTGAATTTATAAATTCAATGCGATACAACGTTGTGATCGCCATAACACATAATTTCTGTAGATTGATCATTCGTTTTTCCTTAACTTGCACGGACGAATCTCCTCTTCTTCGAACCCCTCCTCTCCGTTACTTGGCCAGCCGTTTTTCACGAAAATCGGAACCCTGCTTAGGACATGGGTCTCTTCCGGTTAACTCCGCATTCAACGGAACCTGTGGCATATTCTCCATGTCTGAATCCAGAAATTTGATGCCCGTAATCCTGAAAACGCATTTGCTTCGTTTTAATTTTAGCCCATCTTCAGAAAATCGGCGTAAAATTTCCGTAATACGTTTCAGCAACTCTTGATCGTTTCCCGCTGCTATCAAAATATCATTGAAGTATGCACAGATACGAATTGAGCCAACGGATTTTACTACAGGGGCGACCGGCGTCGTCCATTAGACCGAGAGCCCGCATAGAAAATACCTTGTCATATAGGCTACAAAAGGTTTGATGTAGCTAAGCAGTAGAATGTCACCGTGCGATTCCAAAATCGCCCGTCTGCCGGCCCGCGGCAGTCAACTTAGCGCGAGGGCGAATTTTGAAAACTGTTCCAAATCACATAAACCTCGTCACTGGTACACGTATGATTTTTTGCAATCTGATCCGGAATCATGCACCCTATTCATAGTTGCAGCGGCAGACAATGTATCCGGGCAACACCCGAAGATTGCAATGCCCTTTTTTTGCCAATCTCGCGAAGACACAGTCTGCAGTTGCAGTTTGTCTCAAGCAAATATAGCTTATTGAAACACGATTGCGCCATTACATAAAACTGGTACCCGAATCCATTTCGAATTCACATTGTCTATTGTTTCAAGTAAGGAGTATTCGATATGGCGCTTCACCGCATCCGACATCGCCGCTACTGTCCTCTAACCCGTTCCGATTTTACCAAAGCGGCCCGTCCTTATCCACATTTTTGTTTTTATTGTGAAACGAAGTTTCTGCCTTTTTCGGGGCTTGCCCTTTTTTACTTTTATCGCAATTTTTCGACTCGACTGCACATACTTTTTAATCCGATAGTAGGCATATGCTCACAAATCTCTGTCCGCACATAATGGCTGTATTTCAGATGAGGAACATCAAAGATAAAGCTAAATTAGTGGTAGTTGGACATTATTGATAGAGCACCAATTCATTCATAATACACGCCCAGCACTGTAGTTACATAGAACTTGGCCCCTTTGTCTCCATTGATATTGTTATAATTGGTCAAGCATTACTGGTTCTTCACAAAATAATAGTGCATATAAAAGTAGAATCTTGTTTTTTAGTCAACGTTTTGGAAAAATGTTTTAGTTTATTGATGATCAGTTCGATATGAACTCATAAGGCCTTTTTTTCAAGTTGACCTAGTCGAACAATTCTGGTCATGCTATGATTTGCTCAATACAAATTCACAGTCATTTGATCAGAGCTCGAAAACAGTTTTGAGTTGTTGGTCATTTAACATAACCACAATTCGCAATACATAACCTATTCTTAAACAATTATGAACGCAGAATATCTTGGGTAGATACATGATTGCTGCATTAAGGCCCGGTTGTACAATGTCCGGTTAAACTTCAGTTTGGTTTAACCGACAGATTTGAGAAATACGATTGGCCAACTTGAGAAATATTAGCCAATCAAATCCTTTAACCCACAATTAACAATAAACTGAAGTTTAAACTGACATTATACAACCGAGCCTAAGTGACGATCATCTTGGTGTAGTAGTTTGTAGCAATTATCTGGGAACTCTCAGTCAGCATGAAGCGGTAACGACCTTACTCATGCAGAGAGAGAACATTTCAAGTCTGGCGTCTACTCTGATGATTGGATACCAAGTTATCAACTTGTTTCATCATCCAATAAAGTAATTTTAATTTTTAAACATAATTGGAAAAATAGCCGCTCGCGTAAACATCCAATATTTACTCTTACATATACCTAACCTTACCATTCAAAACCTCTAAACAAGCGGCGGAGCACGGTCAACCTGCTCATGAACGGGTAAATCTTGCGAGACCCTTGTAGAGGCTAGAAATTCTTTGACCGGGAGCGCAAAAACAGGAAATTCTTGACCACGTTCAATGGTCATTTGAACTGGTCAACGCGAAAAAACGCCTATAATAAAATGAACGTTACACTGGTTTCATAAATAACGTTCATATCAAATGCGTATCATTCAAAATTTCATCTACGGTCCAAATAGATTTTATTCACATTTTGATTTATGTAAATTAGTACAAGATCCCATATAAGGTCAACCTTCGCTCATCTGTTTACCCAGTGAAATACATTTTTTAGCCATCTTAAGATGTAAACAAACACATTGCAAATGGGTTGCCCAAAAAAGTCAAGAGTACCCTTAATTAAAATTTATGTATTCATATTCGGTCTGCTTTTATCACACGAGAGAGCGCACGCGCACTCTCTTACATCGATGTACACCACGATCAGCTGTTTTAGTCTTTGGTTTGTATCCTTTGTTAAAAAAAGCTTGCACAAACCCATTGAGATAGAAAACTAATGGAGGGAATATAATGGTAGAGGGGGTAAGAATTTTTGTAGACGGAAGTTGCCACCAGATAGAGGCCACTCGCGTGGATAGGTTCCCGTGAAGGTACATTTTGGCCGACATTATTTGACATAATGAAAACGCGGGTCCTGTCACTGTCAGTTTTCCACCAAATTAAAATTTTATTAAATATGCAATTTTATAGTACCTAATAATTTCGGATCGGTTTGTGCTCTGGTTTATATAAATAACTAACTGCCGCATGTCATTTATCATGTTGTAGGCGAGGTTGTAGGTACCCAGTTTATGTTTCTTAGTTTTCCAAACGAACCAGTACTTCGAGCAAAATGGTTACCTAACATTTGTAAATATATCTCAAGAACAGCTCTCGAAATTTGCTTTTGTGCTCACAACGCTTCATTGACTGTGATTTCGACCAAAGGTTGCACCGGAAAGGCGGAAAATGTTCATCAAATATGCAGTAGGTACTATCAAAACTTGTTTTTGCAGCTAAACGTGTGAGTTTATAATATGGATATCAGGTGTAAGTTTTTTTACGAGTGCGGATACATTTTGAGACCAATAAACAATAAATTATTATTGAATCTCTCTGCCGTTGTAATGAACCTGAGACCAACCAGTCAATTGTAGCTATTGATCAACACAGTGAATTTAATGGGAGTTGTCAAGTTGTAGCGGCTGTAGTAAACTGGCCTTAATTATACTACTGGAACACATCGATGTATATTTAGATTTGTAATCAATGATTATATTAAATCTGCATACTTTCCCATCCTTGTCTATTTTGTTTACTTTACCACGAGCATGTATTTTACTCCTTCTATATGTTTTTTTGTTATTATTCCTATTAGTGGAAAGAAAATTATATCTCTACGCCACTGAAGTGAGACGCTAATGATAACGGAAGTGGTGTGGTACTTTAATCACAGCTAGAGGCCACTTTTGGTTCCCGTGGTCTACGTCTGGCCAAGCATTTGATTCCCTCCATTTGTTTTCTAACTCAATGCACAAACCACTTTACACCATGGCAACCCCTTGCAAGACACCCTTAAAGTTCAAGAGTACTTTATAAAATGTGAATTTTATTCTATTATTAAAAACTGTCTGACAAGTGAAAACACATCTTTTAATAGTTACCTCAGTAACAATAAAATTCTGATTTTATAAAGTACAGTTACAATTTCTTGAACGCTAAGGTGTAAAGTGTTTGACAATAGAATACCTGATTTCTTATATGTATTCA